AATCTATCCTGGTGATCTATCCTACCCTCATTGTTGGAACCATTCTAAGAAGCTTTTTCTTGAACTCATACAAAAAAAATCTTCCCAGAGCAAAATATCACAAATCCAACTGGGTGTAGGCGACATGGAGAATAGAATTCACAAGGTAAGGTACATTGTACATTGCAAAGGTACATTGCACACAATACCAAATGATGCACAGATAAGATCATTGCTACTTTGGATGATCTTATAAATGCTAAACTTACTTCTCCATTCAAGGTTTTCACTTTTGATTCACCAGAGCAGTAGGACCACAGCAAAAGACACAGCCAATTTGATCACAACATCTCCCTCTGAAAGCAGGTAAATATAGCAAGATAACAAGAAGTTCTTGAGCTGAGGAGCTGACGTACAGGGGAAGTTGGATGCTGATACATTCCTGTTACGTTCAAGTGATATCAATTAGCATGGAGTGGCAATTGGACAAATTGCCAAAGGAGAACAGATGTGAGCCCCAACATTTGCTTTGACCTATAAAACATTACTCAATGATTGTGGTCCTTTACAAAGAAAACTGACCTTTCTTCAGCTGTAAAATGTGCCACCACTTTCTCTGGCACAACAGTCCAATACTCAACACTGTTAAACACACTGGGTAGCAAGAGTTTAGCTATTCATAGAATTCCTATAGTGTAGAAAGAGGCCATTCAACCCAAACCTCCAAGGAGCATCCTACTCAGACCCAACTCCACCCTATCCCCTTAACCCACAATGCAAATATACATAAAAATACTAACTAATATAATCAAGTGGCAACAAATTAGCTGAATAAATACAGACCAAATCACTGGAAATTTTCAGTCCTTCAGTCCATCCATTCAAGGGCATGTCACTAACTCATTAAGCTATATCATACACTGTATGAAGGCTTTGCTATATGCACATACTGTAGACATTACAATAACACTTACTGAGCTATTCCTTAGCTATCGAAGCGATGACACACATGAAAGCCAGCTCCTCCACACTAGAGACTCACGTCAGCAGCTATAAGCAAATAGCACTGCACAAGGCCTAACTGGAGCACTGAAATCCCTGCAACACCAAAACTGCTATAGGCTTTCTACATCCAGCTGCTCAAGATGTGATCCAAGGTACATTTCTACATAGCCCACTGAGAAATAATTCTGAAACCCAGGCCAAAATCCCAATGCTAAACTTACTTCTCCATTCAAGGTTTTTACTTTTGATTCACCAGAGCAGTAGGACCACAACAAAAGACACAGCCAATTTGATCACAACATCTTCCTCTGAAGGCAGGTAAATATTACAAGATAACAAGAAGTTCTTGAGCTGAGGAGTTGACATACAGGGGAAGTTGGATGCTGATACACTTCTGTTACGTTCATGTGATATCAGTTAGCATGGAGTGGCAATTGGACAAATTGCCAAAGGAGAACAGATGTGAGCCCCAACATTTGCTTTCATTGGCTCTGGCGTTTTTGGAATAAGCTTTGATTCAGTGAACAGAATATATCACCGATACACCTAACCACTCCCCAATGCCAAGTCACAAAAACACAGCTCGTTAGCATCAGGGCACAGTCAGGAACTCACAGACTTTTGACCAACTACAATCACATCTCCCCTGTTAGTCATAAAATGTAAGGTACAAAGTTTTGCTTTACAGACTGTCTTATCCTATTACAAGTCAGCATTGTATTGTGGCTTGGATCCTGTGGAAAAAGGCAGGTACAATTAAACAATGGGCTTGTGGAGCGAGAATCAATGAAACCCACATCAATCATTGAGCATCCAAGTTAGATGTTGAAAGATGATAGAGCTATTGGAAACAGAGAGAAAAACACATTATTCCAGTTTAGGGTAGCATTGATGGTTAGTGATTAGTTAGAATTAGCACATCAATCAAAACAATATTACAGGATGTTCTAGAGATATCTGGGGATAAAGGTATGGCTTTTTTTGCTGGTGATTTGAAATCTGAAAACTGGAGAAAAATCGTTTGAACAGTTCCTCGTCTCAGAATCGTAGATCTAAGAATGAATGAAAGAATAAATCGAGCATCATAAGGCCAGGCACAAAGAAGAGGCAAACACGCATTTTAGGAAAGAGCTGGCACTTTATTGATATCTTATGAATAAATACATTAACAACAGAAATAAATAATAACAATCTACCATATAAACAGACTCACTTTGTTACAAAATGACTGTAAGTACAACCTCATTCACATGTAATAAAGCACTAGGTTAGCCTAATCACCCACACAAGCTCACATTATGGTTCCAAATCTGACACAGAGGTGACTAAGAGACTGCCACAGAATGTTGGCACATACATTAAGAGTAAAGGACTTGGAGTTCTTGTCTAACTACACTTGGACAAAAGTTTACTAGTGTTCCAAATGGTTCACTTACCTGAAGCACTCTACTCCTATCTGTGTTATGGCACTGCATCGGCGTCATTCAGCTTGTGGTTAATACTTTGGAAGGAATACCAGCATGGCACAGGGTCAGGTGTTTGATTCTCAATGGTAAAGTACACAATCAGCTTTCAACCATTCACATTTGGCAGAGCTGTACGAGTGGTTTGAAGCTGGCAGGAGACCTTGAAGACATACACTAATACTCTGTGGAACTACATCATGTGATCAGCAACAACTATCAAAAAAAAACTTAAGATCTCTCCAGAGTGACTCCACTTGGACTAATCATGAGGCAGCAACAACTGAACACCACTGACAGAACCATTATTTAACACTGAATAGGCATCAACTAACGACAAATTCTTACATCCCATCCACAATGTATACCCCATACTGGATTCACTAAACATGTTTCTTTGGTGAGAGGCGAGTTATGGTAGCTTGCTGCACTGTTGCTTGTTGTAGTAATCACCAGAACAAGTCCTATCCTCTCACGCTGAAGCAACATCATTACCCCAGGATGTGGGATGGAAGTCCAGTTATCAAATAGGAATGCCTTTTGTATTCAAATGTCACTGCTATTAAATGGCCCGATACTAATAATCATTCCTAAACTGTAACTACCAGTCCTGCTTCCAGTAAATGAACAGTACCAAAGACTCCTGGGCTACAGTGGCAGATACCATGAACCAGTCCCTTCCTTGATCTGTATATAAATGTGAAACTAGTAAATGAATAGCACTAAGCAGCCCTGTGGATTGGTGTTACATTGATACCTGAACCATTCTATCCAAAGTCATAGACCTTGTATACTTGTCATTGTCAGATACACTTTCCTTAAGTCAGACAATTTGAGGTCAAATGTTTTCACATTCAGCTACTTATCCAGAACTCTGCTACGTATCAAGTTTCCCTGTATAGCCTTGTCCTGGTCAGGCTGATATATTTATTGCATTCGTTACCAAAGACAGCTGAAGTCAATCCAAGAAATGAAACTCTCAGAGGCCAAGCTTGGTTGTTCATTCTCAAATTCTACTCTGAGGTTATGTGTTGCGTTGTTGCATTTATTACAATGATTGGTTCAATCCCACATACATTGTCAGAGGCAGTGAACTACTCATATCTTCAGGATCATTGAGAGATCAGATTCTATATTACTCATTAGTCTGTCCTTCAATGAAGTGTAGTTAAGGAACACTGGCTCACCATTGCTTTCCTCTTTACAGATGACAAAAATAGTTGGGAAGGGAGGTGGTGAGGATGGCACAGAGAGTCTGCAAAGAGATTTGGGTAGTTTAGGAGATTGGGCAAAAAGTTGACAGATGGAATATAATTTGGGAAAATTTGAGGTTGTGCATTTTGATAGAAAGAACAGAGAAACTGAACATTATTTAAATGGAGAAAGATTGCAGAATGCTATGGAACAAAGGGATTTGTGCATGAATCACAAAAATGTTAGCATCCAAGTTCAGCAGGTAATTGAAAAGGCAAATGGACTGTTGGTCGTTATTTCAAAGGGAAAGGAATATAAAAGTAGGGAGGTCTTACTTAAACTATACAAGGCACTAGTCAGACCATAGCTTGAACACTGAACAGTTTTGGTCCCCTTATTTAAGGAAAGATATTGGAAGCAGTCCAGAGAAGGTTAAACCCTAAGGCTATAAGAAACAGGTGCAGCAGTAGGCGTTTTGGTCTCTCGAGCCTGCTCTGCTATTCCATAGGATCATGACTGATCCAACATTTCCCACATGCACTTTCGTATGATTTCCCCGTAACCCTTAATTCCTATACTGATCAAAAATCTATCAATATCAGCCTTAAATATATGAAGGTCTCAGCCCCTTCAGCTCTCTATGACAAAGAATTCCAAAGACTCTCAACCCTTAGAATAAAATAGCTGCTCTTTATTCTGAGACTATGCCCTCTGGTCCTGAATCTCCCATGAGGGGAAACATCCTCTCAGGATTCTTAAGGGGCTTGACTGGGTAAATACTGTTTCAATTTGATCATATCTCATCCTGTTAAACCCCAGTGAATAGAGACCCAACCTGTTTAGCCTTTGCTCACAAGAGAATCCATCCAAAACAGGGATCATCTTAGTGAACCTTCTCTGAACTGCCTTCATTTAAATGACATCTTTCCTAAAATAAGGGGACCAAACTGCTCACAGTATTCCAGGTATGGTCTCAAGAACACCTTATACAGTTGCATTAAGATGTGCCTATTCTTATACTCCAAACCCCTTGAAATAAGGGCCATCATTTCATTAGTCTTCCGGATTGCCTACTGCACCTGTGTGTTAGCCGTGTTTCATGTACAGATACCAACAAGTCCCTTTGTGTTGCAGCTTTCTGTGGTTTTTATCCATTTAAATAATATTCTGCTCTTTGTTCTCCCTTCCAAAATGAACAACTTCACATCTCCCCAGACTATACTCCATTTGCTAACTTTTTACCCACTTACTCAACCTATCCATATCTCTCTATAAACTGCTTCTTCCCTCTCACAACTTGCCTTTCCAGCTATTTTTGTGTCTTCTGCAAATTTGGCTACAGTGCATTCATTTCTCTCCTCCAAGTCATTAATGTACATTGAAATAGTTGCGGTCCCAGCACTGATCCCTGTGGAATCCAATGGTAATGGTTGCCAACCTGAAAAAGAACCCCTTGTCTCTACTTGCTGTTTACAGCTCAATTCTCTATCCTTGCCAATAAACTACCTCCAACATCCCAGGCTCTTATCATGTGATTTAACCTTTTGTGAGGTACCTCGTTGAACACCTTCTGGAAGTCCAAATACAACACATCTATTGGTTCCCCTATATCCACTCTGGTTGAGACTTTCCTAAAATATTCTAATAAATTAGTTAGACATGATTTCCATTTCATGAAACCATGCCAAAACTGATTAATTACATTATAAATTTCCAAACATTCTGCTATTACATCTTTAATAACTGATTCCAATACTTCCCCATCAATAGATGTTAGGCTAATCACCCTGTAGTTATTTGCTTTTTGCCTCTCTCCTTCCTTGAATAGTTTCACTCAGTTTTTTCTTATGTGGAGAGGTTGAGAAGATTGGGTCTGTACTCATTGGAGTTTAGAAGAATGAGAGGAGACCTATTGAAACACACAAGATTTTTAGGGTCTTTTCAGGGTAGATGCCGATACGTTGTTTCCATACGTGGGAGGATCTAGGATCAGACAGTGTAATCTCAGAGCAAGGTGTCAACCCATTAAGACAGAAATTGGGAGCAATTTGTGCTGAGGGTCATGAATTTATGGAATAATTTACCAAAGAGGGCTGTTGAGGCTGGGTCATAAGTATGTTCAAGGCAGGAATAGATTTTTAATCATTTGGGGAATCAAGGGTTATGGGGTAATGGCAGGGGCATGGAGTTGAGGATTATTATTGGCCATGATTTCAATGAATGACAGAGCAGACTTGATGGGTCGAATGGCCTACTTCTGCTCCTATGGCCTTAAAGCTCCAGTTACCTACAGTGCTGTACGGTGTATCCCCTCTCCAGTAAACAAAAAACATCCAGGTGGAATTATATAGCAGGCAAAAGAAACATCTTAAAATAAACAGCACATCTGTGTAAACTTGAATATAAAACACAATTTGTCTCTTCCTTACTCAGAGCTCTCTGGCCCAAACTTTGGTGTGGTACCCTGTTAATTCTCACAGGGACTGGGTCAAATCCCAAGCTTCTCTAAAACATTGAATAAAGCCACTTCTGAATCTTTCCATTCCCAGACAGCAAGTAGCCCAATCTGGGCATGCATGCAATCAGAAGCAGTGTGTACAGCATATGGAGCATTGCCAGAAATACTGAAATCTTGCCCTGAGAGAGTGTGAAAGGGAGGAAATTTGTGTTAAAAACTCAACAAAGCAGTAAGTCTCCCAAACTCAATGATAATGATCAACTTCCTGTCGAAGGTCAATTATTTGTAACGGACAGACATTACATTTATTATATTTAATGCCATGGTATTCAACTGTAATATTATTTCAGCTTTTAATATTTATTGTAGTTTTTAGTATATAGTTTGACCTACAATAAATATTTTTAATATTTGTGGATCTCCCCTGTGCGCACACACACAAACTTAGCTTTCAATAAGTTAGAATAACAAAGTATTTGAAAAGATTATCATTTCATATTTTGATTCCACTTCGATCACCTGGCAAGAAAAGCCTGCATCTTTACATGCAGAACCAGGATGGACACAGTACAGCAAATTATCTAAGTAAGAAGAAGCACAGTGCAGCAAATTATTTAAGTTTTTGAAATGGGCCTCAACACAACTGGTTGTTCAACTGTGTTGCATACAGCAAACATCAGTAGATACAAGGTTCCAACATTCACCTACAGTCTCGATACAGGCTGACTCTGCCTATAAATACCAGGTGCCATTTCATTCTGCATACTGGCAACACGGGGATCTTACATGGACCAGGCAGCATGGGTTGGGGTCCCACACAGACTGGACCACATGGAGCGCCTCAAGCTGACTGGGAAACACAAGTCCAGTCACTGATAAACAACACAGTCTATGCTCTGCGATGCCAGCACATGGCTGAAACTCCTTAAGAAATCTCTTTCCAAATCTCTTCACTAATTTTACCAACCACCTCAAGAGACACCTAAAAGACAACAGTTTCTCCATCAAATTGAAGTGCAACTGAGTATGACAGGCTCTGGACTCTGAAATATAACATTTCTTTTAGAGAAACTTGTCACACACCGTGAACCTGTAAATAAATTTAGTCAAACTGAAAACATCAGGAACTAAAGACAGAGGGAGAGAATGAGAATGTGACGATACCCAGTACTGACCGCAAAGAGTAATATATAAGCAGTTACAATGTGTATACGTTTCCTAAGTGTTAGACTCGGTGTGCATGCATGAACGACTGACAATGTGAGTAGCTGTGTATGAGTTAATGGATCAGGACCAGTAGGATTGCCGTTATACTGAACCTGATGCAAACTTCAACCAACCCGAGACAACCTCCTGGAGTGGGCCTCGCATTTCCTGGTTGTCCTGATGTCAGTAAGTCTGGAGTTATAATGAGGTACATTAAAAAAATCATCAATGCAAAAGTGGCATTATAACTGTGTCCCCAAGGACACAGTGCATGTTGGGGTGGGTGTCTGCCTGGCCCATGTGTGTATGCAAGGGAATACGAAATCTGTCCAATTCTGCTCAGTGCCCGAACAGCAGTAGTTGCAAAATTGGCTGTTTTGTTTGCAGTATGAAGTAAAATCAGCGGCAGAATTGTCTCCAAAAATGCCACCTGTACAGTGCCTGACGGACTCTAGTACAGTCCGCACCCTCTCAGGTTATTTGCAATAATCACATCAGTTACTGCATCAAAAACAAACTGGATGTTATTGGTATCAGTGGCACAGGTAATGTGTGTGTAGATCTCCTTGCTTGCTGACTTGTTCTTGCTCTCGTACTGGGACTGAATGTAAGAAACAGCTTCAGCAAACATGCTGGGGCCTGAAAGAGAGACACAAACACAGAGGAAAAAGAATAGCATCAGAAATATTTAAGATTGTTCTTCTGAGCAATACCTTATCTGGGGCTAGATACCAGCCCTTTCAAATCAAGCCAAAGATTTGAAAACAATGGGTAACAGGGCTAAAGCATTTGGTTGTCTCGCAGTTTCTTTTCTATTTCTTTGTCAAAATATTCCCAAGAGGCTTCCAAAGGCCTTTGCAGAGACTCTAATAAATGCCAGGCCTGGTAATAAACAATCATTGGGTTGAAGAAGGTAGGGTTTACCCCATCTCCCTGTGACTGCTAGCAGGTACAATGATAAAGATCATTTCTCCATAGTTTTCAGAGGTTCTGCCAACCTATATCCAAATTCATAGTAAGATGACTGCTTGGTGCAATATAAGGCAACTCCTCATGATGTACAACTGGCCAGGATCAGGATCTGACCATGATGGGGAACCGAGCAAACATCAGATAAAGATTGCTCATTTGGGCAATGCCCTCAGGGTCCCCGGAAACTATGCAAAAGTTAGCAGTGCAAACAAGTTAGGAAACTGGCAGCGATTGAAGGGGACTAAGTACCATGAAAAAAACAGCAACCTACGTTTTAAGCATTTTGATTATATCTCTGCGAAGCACTGTGGGATATTTTCTACGCTAAAGGAACGAGACAAATGCACACTGTTGCTATCACGACGACTGTGCTCTTTTTTTGTGTTGATTGTTCCAGGGAATGATGTCATGAGCTGGTCAGATACCTTAAGCAGCATGCAAGAAAAGATGGACTTGTTATAAAAAGGTTGGAGATCGTCCAGAAGAAAAAGTATCTTAAAGGTAAAACATGAACTATGATGAGTTTGATACTCTAGTTAAGAAACTAAGCTTATACATCTCTTGACTAGAGGTTTTCTTTTTCATCATGATATCAGTCTTTCGGGAATCAACTCATAGCAACAGCCTTCTAGTACAGTGTCACAGTCAATTGTGTATTTCTGAAGTGTCATTATAGTGTAATGTAGACAAACGCAGCAGTAAAATTGCACAAAGTAGAATCCCACAAACAACAATGGGACAAATAAGTTCTTTATGATGTTTGCGGAGGGACAAATATTGACCATAACCCTAAATAAACTCATCTTTGAACAATCCCTTGGGATCTTAGTCTACCATCTGGTGTCCTTCATTTAATCCAAAGATGGTGCAGCACCCCCTCCAAAATATCCCTTATCATGGAGAACAGAACTCAAGTTTTCCTTTGAAGTGAAACTTTCTGCTGTTCAATTAAATCTCTATTTTCCTTAAAATGAGCCTGTTTTACCTTGAATGCTGCTTATGTTATATAAACCATTTGACTGAATTATAACCAATTTAATCAAGAGGAACTGGTGACTACCTCTATCAAAATCACTGTAAATTTTCTCCTGTAATGTGGATGAATGCAGCTCTGTTACTTAAAGGAGAATGAGTGTGAAGAGGATTACTTCTATTTTGAATTTTCAGAATTCTGTTCATGGACTCATGTTGTCTCTTGAAATACTGGGTTATTTTGGACAGCTTTTCTTGCACTTCTTGTTCACAAATCAACAACCATTCTCGTTCTATTTTCAGACATAAGTGTCTTTTTGAATGTTGGGGTAAAAGGTCTCAGTATGTTAACTTCTGAACTCTAACTTCAAACCACAGAACTTTGAATTACCAAATGAATTTTCCAGTCGTGTGTGCTTCTTTCCCTTACCCACCCAGAGAGATGTGGTGGTCACCTAGTTACCTGTGTACTCGGGAAAGCAGATCGTTAGTGGAGATTTCTTAATTTTTTCCTCAAATATGTCCTTCTTGTTGAGAAAGAGGATGACGGAAGTATTTGTAAACCATTTGTTGTTACAGATACTGTCGAATAACTTCAACGACTCATGCATGCGATTCTGAAACAAAGAATGCCCTTTGTTACACCAAGCACCTAGAACCAAACTAAAGCAATTCTATCTTGACAGCTCAGCAAAGATGTAACTTTACAATTTCTATGTTAAATGCAAGGTTAATTACAGGTCAAAGCTACTTAACCAATTTACATATTACAACTGGATCTATTTAAAACCAGTCATTTTATTTATATATTGTTTAAATCATGCACCATGCATGTACCAGAAACTGCAGCTGAAGACTCGCTGCCTTTTTTCTATCTCTAGGCATAGAAACCATGCAGCCAGAGAGCAGTGGCAAACACTAACTGGATACATTAACCAAGGATATCATAGATCCTTGAATTAATCCAGACTTGAAAACAGTCAGTGACCGGCCTCCTCCTGACCTTTGAGACTTTGCTATGACTTTTTAGCTTTTTTAGCTATGTGGTTTAAAGCTGGCTTTTGACAAGCTGGAGTGAAAGCACGAACAGATTAAGAGTCTGGTAACCCATGTCAGGTCACGAAGACATTAGTCTGGAGCCAAAAGGAAGACTACCAAATGCATGAATCGCAAAAAAAAAACTTTACATTTTACAGGATCAATGCCTAGGCAAAATAAAAGACAGAAGAAAAAATCTGCATCAGATTTGCATGTCTTCTACATGGCAATGTAGTGATGAGAGGAACTTGTGACAAGGTCCGGGCCAGAGGTCGCACTGCTGTTTTCAATTCTTGGTCAAGAGAAGCTTCATACCTGCCAATTTGGGTTGGTGTCGCAAAATCTCATTGTTAACATTTTGTTTGTATCAGTCAGCGGTGGTGGAATGGTGTCATGGCTGTAGCGAGAGGCTGGAGCTGGAAGGCTGCCTCCTTCCCCAGGGACGTGGTACCAGAGAGCAGGCAAAAGGAGGATGAAGTACACTCAGAGTCATGGGGTGGTCACACAACATTGAAGGTACACTGTTGCGTCACAGTGCAATCCAATACAAAAATCACTAGCATCTATGCAGCATGCCCCAGAGGGATGTCTCTTTACACAATCAACAGACTGGAACTTAGCCCAAAACCAATGAATGTTCGCACAAATAGAACATTTTGATTGTATTTGCTTCTAGAGGATCTCAGATTCTCAACTGAAAGACGGTTCTGCAGTTTCAGTTGTACCATTCACTGAAGACAGTGGATGAGCTCCTCATCATATTTTACATCATAATGCTGCCACCTTGTGTTTATTGAACATCAATGCGATGTGCAATCACTCTCACATGGACAATCCAGTTCACACACAGTCACGTTCCATTTAATGGAAATTATAGTGAGAGAAATCTGCCACAAGTCCACCTGGTCACATTCTGAAGGTCTGTTTACTTGGAGAAAAGGTTTACATACATGACCAAACAATGTTCCAAGGAAGAAATAAAGTTTTGAACGGCCACTTATTGTTACAGAGATGGTCATTTGGGTTTGTTTGGTCAGACTCATGCTAGAAAGGCTGAATAAAATCAATGAGTGATATAAAGAAAGGCTACACTATCAGACCTTTGTCAGTTTCAATGTTGAAACATTTTCAGTATTAGCTACACTTGAGTAAATGCTACAACCAGACCTTTTTGAAGAAGTAGATATTCTTGAAATCATAACCTATCTTTTCAGATCTAACATATATTTAGCAAAGTTTGCTTAGATTCTACTCAGATTTTCAGTATTTTGCTGTTCCTGCCCTTCACATTTTTCAGAACAAAACGTGGTCACTAGTACTTCCCTCTATGTATGAGCTACATAAGCTGGAAATTGAACTGTACTAGAGTTTTAAATCTTCGTAACCTGGTGTGGCCACCAGAAGTGAAAATACAACTCCAATTACCTTTCAAGATTTTGAAAATAGGCTTTCAGTTGACCAAACTTCTCCACCTAAAAGATGGCATGAACAATGTACCAATGATATCCACCTTGATTCCTTCACCTGTTGATTCCTATTTCAAGTAATACCGAGAATGCGTCTTTACCTCTGACAGGGGCACCAGCATTACCTTATACTATCACGTACCATCAATCTCCCTTCTCAACAGCGCTGATTCAGATCCATGCACTGGTGTCAAGTGAACTTAAAACAAATAGATTCTTTGGGACTGTGCTCCACATGCTCACCAGCATGTCAGGATACATAGGTATGATCAATGCTGCCTTCACCTCCTCAGAATGGTTACCAGTGAATTGCAAGTACCGATCATCATCTGCATGTACAAAATTAAATCCAGCTCTTTTTAAATTTAGCTGTATTTTGTTACATAAATTTAAATTAAGTGAGTTATCAAAGGTGGCTTGTTGTCTGTAACTGTATCTGTTGCAGTGTTGGATATCTTTCATTATTATAAAACCTACCTCAGCAGGTACAGGCAAGATTAGCGCAGTCCACACAAAGCCATAGTGATTACGAGCACCACTGAAACAATGTAACACTAAGTTATCCCTTTAACTCTTTGCTGCTAATTGCACCAAATATTAAGATGAAAAATACAGTGATTACATATCTAACAAATGGAACAAACTGTTATTGGGATCACACAGAGGAATGTGGCTTGTATTAGGGAGTGTTAGATACAGTCTACTTCAAAGTTGTACAGCCATGTGGCAAATCAACTGAGTAACTGAAAATCCCTGAAACAAAATTCCACAGTCATCCATATGGCTTAAAATGTTAACACGTAATAGATCCAGGTTTTTCCAGGAGCAAACCTACAATGACATTCTTGCATCAATAACTCCTCACACATTACACTTTCAGACTGGGGAACTTGGTTGAAAATTTTGACAGTAATCATCCTGCTCAGCTCAGGAATACAAACAAAAATCATAGGTGTGCAATTGTTTTAATACATCCATAAACACAATCACTCAACTCTACATTATTCCTAGAGGAAGGAATACTGTGATGTTATAAAACAAATGAAGTTGAACAGATACTACTGGACCTAGGAAGTAAAAATCATTAGTCCACAACATGTTTAACACTGATGTATTCCTAACAATCGGTCTACTGTACACAATGGGTGTAAAGGAAGAGAAGTTACATGAGAGGGGCTTGAAGTTGCATTGGGATAATATGCCTCTCCCAGAATTGTCCTATTAACACATGAAACTCAGAGACTCTTAAATCTTGCCTCGCATCATCTGGAATCTCATTTGTTGCATTAGAAATCCTGAATGAGAAGAAAGGTACTGTTATAAAACACAGAGGTGTATTCCTGTTGGGTTTAAAAGAGTTAACCAGGCAGGTCAGTGAATCCTGGAACTGGATTACAAAGCAACAGGCATCCAACAAGATAGGTCCCCATTCTGTTCATGAAGATTGGCTTTAGGTTTTCAGATCTCTTAAAATGAAAGTACATTTTTAAGCCATTTTGAGAAAGTTAATATCTTGGGTGTCTGGGGTAGACAAGAAAGACCAGTGAATGCATCAGGAAACCAGTCAACATGCTTCTACGTAAATGTCGCTTTCCAGCAGTAGATACAGTATGGCTAAGCTGATTGTCAGTGTGCCAGTCACAAACTGTCTATCTTAGGCAGCTCAGTCCTGTATCAGGAGCAAAATAAATACTCAGGAGCCATAGCTCATCACACCTCCTTAGTACCTCATAGACATCAGAGAAAACACTTCCATCACTTCTAACACAATGGGAAAGAAATCTTCTTGCATGTAATATAATTCAATGCTGTCACAACCTGCAGATAAAGAGGAATCAGAATCTGCTTCTTCCTTCAATTCAGGTCCAAACAACCTACTCAGACTCTCTTAACTTCACGTCTACAATTTAGTGAACACAGACGCTCTTTGCACACACAGCATGCTCATAAATCCATGGTTCTGTCCCTCACTGCATACACTGCAGCTACAGAGGCCTGGACAATCATTCTGGGATCTCAGACAATCTCCACACATTAACCACTGGGGGCCGAAGCCATCTCCTGGGGCCCGACTCACCGTGGTCTCATCCTCATGGAGCACCTGGTCATAGCCACTCAGTGCCACACAGAAAATAATTGCTGTCACATCTTCGAAGCAGTGGATCCATTTCTTTCTCTCTGACCTCTGACCTCCCACATCAAACAGCCTGTGAAGAAAATGGAACAATTTTTCTTCAGTAAAACCTGGGGATTGACAAATGGGTGCAAGTAATTATGAGTTGTGGACTTAACCTGTAGCACTCTCAACATTCAGCCCATTGTTCCTAACTTCCCATGGGACGATACCTTCAGGAGGTATTGATGCCCCCATACTGTTCTACACAGAGCAGTAATATGTGCCCTTGTGGCTGTAATTCCCATTATACGTACTATCTGACCTTGGTTGAGGAGGTTGAGCGTAGGCTGTTCACTTCCCTACTGACAGAATGGGGCATTGAGACATACGTTGCTTTTAGAATCAGTTGCATGCAATCTCTGGGCCAGGAACCAAATGTACACAGGACTTGATAGAATCGACATATAGAAAATATTTCTAATGATGGGAGAATCTAAAATCATAAATACAAGAGAATCACTAATAAATCTAATGAGGGATTCTGGAGAAACACTTTCACTCAACGTGGTGTAAATGTGGAATTTGACACTGCAGAGAGAAGTTGAGGTAAATCAAATAGTTGCCTTCTTAGGGAAGCTAGATGTGTGAAAAAGGTTACACTGATGGAGTTAGAGGAGGAAGGATCAGAAGAGGCTTATGTGGCAGGTTAACACCAGCCTGGGGCCTGGTGAGCCCTGGTTGTACCTCTCTTCCAGTCATACAAATATCTATCTTCAGCAACTGGAGATTTCAAGGCATCAGGTTCTAGTCCAAGCACTGTATTAACAAAAGGCACAGAAGCAGGAACTGGTGTTTATGTAATTCACTGTGCAAAGTGGGCAATGGCTGGCATCCAGGAACAATGAAAGAATCACATGGTACAATAGCATGTGTACTAGCGAGTCAACAGCAAGCGTACAATACAAGGGTGGCACCTTAAAAGGTGATCGATAGAAAGTAATAGGTGCATTGACTAGAAGAAAACCAATGCGGAGATTGAGGGAAAGACTGTGAACTGACGTGTGTGAGACGATAAAGGTTAGGAGAAGAAGGGTCAGCATGCTGGTGAATCCTGTGACATTGAAAATCAGCTTGAGACTAACTTCCCTGCCTGACTGATGAGATGCAGGAATGGGAAATATAGCCCTCATCCAATTCCTAATCAGGTTTGCAAAGTTTCTTCATGCACTTCGATAATGTATATACATGGGACTAAATTCATGCTAAGTACAACAATCAAATCAGCCTTGACATATAACAAGTGCATAATCCCTTTTTTTAATATACACAAGTCCTCAGCCCTGATAATTATTACACAGGAGTAAATCTCCCCATCTTCTTTAATATCAAATAGCAATCTTCATACACAATCCAGAGCAGTCTTCATACAGACATTGAGTTAGCAATCCGAGACACTGTGTCCAAGAGCATGGCATTAAAGCAGGATACAGATTTGGAGACATCAGAAATACTCATTCGATTACTAGATGCAGGTCTTGCACAGGTTCAGGATAATGTGTTGGCACAGTTAAAGTGTATGTGCTGGCCCCTAGCTTAGACTGAGTGGAGAACAGTAGGAACTAAGTACGAAATTGGGTGCAGGATATTGGCCTAGGTATCAGTCTAGAGGGAAGTAGCATAGGTATAGAGTACTGGGTTCTAAACTGTACATCATTCTAGTTACTATCCCCCTCATTTACAATGAGGTATTTTTCAGATCAGTTCTGCAATTGTGTTGAAGTGGTGTGCATCAGTTAAAATTTAATCCCTTTGATTGATTTATTTTAGAGGAAATAATACAGTTTTTTAAAAAAATGTAAATTTTGGTCTTTTATGTTAAATGACTGGTTGTCCTTGAAAAGGTTAATGATCAAAATTCTGCAGTCTCTCAGTGCCCACGCAGACTAATTAATGAAAACCCCCTGCTATCAACTCCCATGATCTCCGACCTGCAGGTATCTGGAGCTGTCTCAGAAAATCACTTAATCATTCGTTACAATAAGTCACTTAGCTAAATGGAAAATCTTTTGAAATGCAAACTAGAGCCTGGGGAATGAAAAACAGCCTGAACTGCTATCCCGAGGGTCTGACCCTCCGTTCTGCAGGTAAGAGGTCACTACTCCAACACTGCCATCGGCATGTGTATTGCAGATCTGTTCCTAAGTGCAGTCATTCTGTTCAGGCTCCCCTGTGATTGAGATGTATTCAGTTGATTGTGGATTAGGTCTCTCGAGGTTGGGACTTCAAATTCCACTGTGACAGGCTGTACAATTGAATTTGCTAATGTACAAGGCAGGTTTAAAAATGGGTATGATGCTGGATTAGTACAAAAGCCTCTCAAATCCACGCTTGTGTTTTCTGCAAATCCATATTAAAATTCTCCAACCAGATTTTTGCACAGCACTGAAACTGCCCTTAATTAAAGCCACAAATGCCATCCTCAGTAGCAATGACCAGGGGGCGTGAATTCTTTACTACCACTGTTTGACATGGTCGACCACACCATCCTCCTCTGAAGTCCAGCTCCGACAGGACTGCTCAAGCTTGTTTTGTTCTTCCCGGTCAAATCTGTAATTACACCATTGCCTCCGAATCTCGCAAGTATCTAACTTTGGTTGTCTGTTCCTCAGCTTCTCCTCGCTGAGATCATTCAAACAAAAGGACTCAACTTTCACGTGTGTGCTGGAGATACTCAATTTAATCACTTCTCTCAGACTCTTCACTGCCCCTTGCGATCTCAGATATTTTGCCAGACGTATCACAGAATTGTTACATTACAGAAGGAGGCCATTTGGTCCATCGTGTCTGCACCAGTTAGTTGAAGGAGCATCGTTGTCTCCTGCTGGTTCCCCATACGCTCACACATTATTTTTATCCACACAATAACCCAATGCCTTCTTGACTGTCTCAATTGAACCCACTTTCAATACACTAACTATTCACTGGGTGAAAAAGCTTTTCCTTACTTGCTCCTTTTGTATTCACTTTCAATTTATGCTCTCTTGTCCATTTTACAAGCGGGAACAGTTTCTCCCGATCTACTATATCCAGCCCACTCTCAATTCTGAACACCCCTATCAGATCTCCTCATATACTTCTTCTCTCCAAGGAGAACAGTCCCAATTTCTTCAATCTATCCTCATAATTATGTAGAGTTGGACGGTCATATGTTCTGTCTCTACACCAGGGCAGTGCAACAGTGATTCTCTGCCCGTTTGTATAACATTAGCATTGGGGTTCTAACATTTTCTGTGCGCTCTCTTAGGATTCCAAGTGATCCCTTTACCTCAGTGAAAGCCTCTTCGAGCTTGTTGTTTGGTTGAACAAAACTTGTGTCGCAGTTGTTTGTTAGCTTGCCGAGCCGGTTGGTTCTCTGGTGTGCAGACGTTTCATTATTCTTCTATACAACATCATCAGTGCAAACTCTAATCGAAGCGTTAGTATTCTGCTTCCTTCCGGATTTATATGATCCTCTGGTGTGATGGTCTTGTCGCTTCTGGTTCTGCTGTTTCAGCGGCGGCCCATGTACGGGGTCTATTTCTACATATTTTGTTAATGGAGTCCTGTGTTCAGAACCAGGCTTCCAGAAATTCCCTTGCATGTTCGCTTGTCCCAGTCAAACTGATGGCCCTCATTGTCTGTGTGTATTGGTCATGTCTTTTTGCTGCCGGCTGGTGTTCGTGTATCCTGGTTGTCAGTTTCCCCCCTGTTTGTCCAATGTAATGTTTATTGCACTCGCCGCATGGTATTCTGTACATCACGTTGGTCTTGTTTACTGTCGGCATGGGGTCTTTAGTCTTTGATAACATTTGGTGTAGTGTTGCTGTAGGTTTGTGTGCAATCATGATCTTACATGGTCTTAGGAGTTTGGTAGTCATTTTTGATATATTTTTGATGTAAAGTAGCGTTGCTAATGTCTCCTGTTGTATCGTATCCTCTGACTGTCGTTTGTTTTGTAGGCATCTGTGGACGAAACTTCTTGGGTATCCGTTGTCGGTGAAAACTTTGTGCAGGTGTTCCTCTTCCAATCTCCGGAGTTCTGGGGTGTTGCAGTGTGATGCAGCTCGTTCAAATACTGTCTTGATTTATCTCTGTTTGTGTATAGTGGGGTGGTTGCTATTGAAGTTAAGGATTTGGTCCGTGTGTGTGGCCTTCCTATATACTCAGGTCCAGAGTCTGCCGTTAGTCACCCTCTTTACCGTTACATCTAAGAACGGGAGCTGTTTGTTGTTTCCTTCCTCTCTACTGAAATTTATGTTTGTGAAGACATTGTTGACAAGTTGGTGGGTTTCTTCTACTTTTGTGCATTTGATTTTTACGAACATGTATATCTAACCCACGTTTTTAGTTGGATTATAGGAAGGACTCTGTGTTCAAATCTCTGCATCACTGCTCTTGCAATGAGACCTGGGATGGGTGATCCCATCGGTGTGCCATTGATCTGTTTGTATATCTGTCTGTTGAACGTGAAGTGTGTTGTGAGGCATAAATCTAGCAGTTTCAGTGAGCTGTCTTTGCTGATGTTGTTGTCGGTGTTCAGGATTGGTGCTCCTGGTCCGTCTCATAGCGTCGCTAGTGTCTCTCTGGCTAACAGTACGTCAATGGACGTAAATAGCGCTGTAACATCGAAGGAGATCATGATTTCGTCCTCGTTGATTTTTGTACCCTTGAACTGTGTGAGAAATTCCTGGGCCGAATGGATTGAGTGTGGGGATCCGCTAATCAGGTGTTTGAGTCTCTGATGTAATTCCCTCGCTAGCTTGTATGTAGGTGTGCTCGGTAAGGAGACTATTGGTCTGAGTGATATTCCAGGTTTGTGTACCTTGGGGAGTCTGTAGAAGCAGGGTGTGTTTGAGCCATCTGGTTTCATTCTGATATAGTCGGTGTTGGTGATCTCTCCTTCATGTTTAAGTCTCTTGAGTGTCTGGGTTATCCTGTTCCCCAGCTATGGTGTGGGGTCTGACGCCACCTGTTGGCACATGGTTGTATCTGCGAGAAGTGCCTGTGCTTTCTCGATGTAGTCTGTTCTGTTCAGAACCAGGGTCATTCGTCCTTTGTCTGCTGATAGGATTGTGATGTTTTCATTCTTCTTCAGTCCTTCTAGGGCCTTTCTCTCCGCTGTGCTGAAGGTGTCTGATTTGTGTTTACAGTTAAGTGCTGGGACTACTGTTTGTCTGATGGCCTGTTGAATTTTGTCGGCGAGTCCATTGGTTTTCAGTGTTGGCTCTTGTGCTGCTAAGAAGTCCGTTTTCCTAGTGCCCCTGTGGTCGTAGTTAAGTCCACGCATCAGGATGGCTTTTCTGTATCTGTGAGTTGTCTGTCGGAGAGGTTCTTTACCCATGCGTCTGCTTTGTTCCTGTCGTCCCGGTGGATTAGTCCGGTTAGTTTCTCCTGTAGGCTGAGTTTTTGTTCCCTTTCTGGTTCTCTGTTTTAAAGTGTTAATGGCTTGTTCCAGTGTTGTGGTCCACTGTTGGTTGGTTGACTTCTGGTACAAAGACTTTTGGTGCGTAATTTCCCATTGGTATCTGTGGAGGCGGTTGTGGGCATCTGTGATCATTGCCTGTAGCATCCTGTGGCTGTTTTGCTCTGTTATTCTTCTTGCTTGTGAGTTGTTTAGTGGAGGTTTTTATTTTAAGCTGTGAGGCTGCACCCGGCTCGTGAGGCATTCATGAAGGACGTGGAGTCGTTCGTGGGTAGCACTTTGTCGGATGGCATAGGCTTCACATTGTCGGGCCTGTTTTAGCGTGTTGCGCCCATAGGTAATTAAGGTCTTAGCAAAAACTTGCAGCAATAAGTATTACATTGGACAAACAGGGAGGAAACTGACAACAGGATACATGAACACCAGTTGGCAGTAAAAAGACATGACCAATATTCACTTGTCTCGATTCACACAGACAATGAGGGCCACCAGTTCTACTGGGACAATGTGACCATACTAGGACAAGCAAACACCAGACATGCAAGAGAATTTCTGGAAGCCTGGTTCTCAACATGCGACTCCATTAACAAATACACAGAAAGAGATCGCGTATACAAACAACAGAACTGGAAGTGATAAGACCATCCCACCAGAGGATCATATAAATTCAGAAGGAAGCAGAATACCAACAATTTGATCAGAGGTTGCACTGATGATTGCCTAGAATGGTAACGAAACATCTGCACACCACAGAACAACCGGCTCAGCGAGCTAACAAACAATTGCATCCACAACCCGAGCTACAAATTTTCGCTAAGACCTTAATAACTTGTGTCTTTTTTTCAGCAATACTCATCTTGTAGAAGCATTTCATCTTGCACTCATTAGGACAATTCTTATGAATTCCAATGTAAAGGGAAAACAGTGCTTTTATTCTGTATGAGGACAGAGTGCTCATTGGTTGGCAACTGGACTGGGGTCATATTAAAACCATCCTGTGGGATAATAGCTACACTAACTGGATCATTTCCTGTTGACTCATGAGCAGGCCCAAGGCTGCAGCTTTCATTTCAGAAAAGTGCTCAGTCTACCTTAGATTACCCAAAGGTTTGTGCAACTAATGAGGTTAACTGTTCACACTACTGCCATGGAATAGCAACATGTGTGTGTTTGCTACTAACAGGATGCTGCCATCATGCCATAAAGATGAATGTGGTGCTAGGCAAATTTCAGCGCTGGTGTGATGCCAGGTATATAGGTCACACATCCCCAAGGCTGGTGGATCACATTGAATAGCATATCCCTGTGGGTCCAGTGCCCGCAAAACTCAAAACAGTGTCCAACACTGGATGTGATTCTGTGATTGGACAGCATTTGTTAAATAATCCCAAGTTTGCTAATAATTACCAGCAGCTACGTATATTAATGCACAGGATCCTGATCTTGGCAGACAGAAAGAACATGTAATCACATTGTGTCTATTTCACCTCAACAAAATAGGTGATACCCATTCTCTGGTTCATTTCTCAGGGCAATGCCTTAGATAAAAAGCTTCAACAAAACATGTGTTCTTTCAGAAATACCTTCAAACTGGTTATACAAGTTATAACTGCAACTTGCACAATGTGTTTTGTGACTGATTGAAGTAACTGTATGAAAGAAGTTTTCTATCTTTGAGGAACACAGTCTGTAAACTACACACACGTGGATGGGGAAATCGATAAAGCAAGGAGATCTCATGAAATGCTTAAGTATTTACTATCGAGGCAACAGCAGACGGGTATCCAGCCCCTTCTATTTATGGATGCACTGGTATTTTTTTTTAAATGTTCAACTTAACACGTCAAATACAGTCATACATAATAGGCCCAGTTTTAACTCTGTTTAAGTGAAAGAGTTTTATAAGTTAGGATCTTGCCAATGATCTCCTTCATACCTAAACTAGTTGCTTCTATTTGGTTAATTACCAGTGATATGTCCAGAAATAGGTCTCCACTATGGGGTTGGGTGGGGGAATGGATGGTATTTGTTGCTCCATTGAACTGGACTCACCTGAAGTGGAGGTTTTTGAACGTAAAATGAGTTTCTACGATGCCAGTGGTCTTCACTCTGGTTCGGAGGATATCCTGCTCTGTTGGCTGGTAGTCATTGCTTCCAATCCGATCTAAGCTGTCTAGGTAACTGTAGGAGAAATGAAAGTAGTTACGAAACAAATCCTCAAACTGCACTGAAAGTGCTGGACTGCCCAACAATGGACAGCATTATAAAGTGATCAGAAATCTCCAGAGGCAATCCGTGGTTGTAAATCAATCAAATAATAAAAGACGAGGCATGACCGGAAAGAACATCATTTATCATCGAACATCAAAACAGAGCCACTACTTGAGGCCTGCATAGGCTTGTTCCAGGCAGGAACAGACAGTTCTAGACCCATCCCTGGGTCCCTTGATATTTTTGAATCAGCCTGTTCACAGGTGTTACTACACACCTGCGCAGCAGTTGGAGCTGAGCCTAGGTCACCTGGTTCAGAGGTACGGACACTACCACAACACCACAGGAGTCCCTGGGTCTGCTTTATAAGTATTTTGAATCAACCTGCTGAGATCTGTTGTGAGACGTTTCTAGTACAGGTGGGACTTGAATGTGGATATTCTGGCTTAGAGGCAGGGACAATACCACTGTGCTACAACAATCACTGGGTCCGCTTTATATTTTCTCTTCTTTCTATATCCAGAAGTGCTACCACACACAACCAAATGGCCGTTTTCCCAGCACCAAATCATCGTGATGTTTGTTTTTAACTACTAACCACCACCAGTAAATGAACCATGTAAGCCAAATGAATATTTACATGCAATGTCCATTAAGGTCAATGCAAACCATCAGATGGTGAGGGGGAGGTAGGGAATGACGGGGGAGATTAAACCAAAATGAAGATGGAGGTAAAGCACTCTATCCACTGTGGTGACCACCTCTCTATAAAGGCATTGCGACTATTGGCAGATTTTGCGTGCACCCTCTCCACTCACACCCAGGCAAGAACATAGCCATGGAAGAGGGTCAGACAGTCAGCAGAAATAACACCCCTCCACAGCCCACTAACTGGACCTGTTTAAAGACAACTTGGCCAGGCTGGGTCTGGCTTATTTTTTTAGGATCAACCTGTTCCAGAGTTATTATCACACACCTCTGGAGGAGCCAGGACTCAAATCTGGGATCTCCTAGCTCAGAGGAAGGGATACAACGACTGCACTACAAGAGCTCCCTTGAGTCTGCTTTTTTTTGAACAAACCTGTTCAGAGATGTTATCACACACCTCTGGGACAGGTGGGACTTGAACCTGGGCCTCTTGGCTCAAAGGCAGGGACACTACCTCTGCACCACAAGAGTCCTCTCAGTTTGCTTTTTTGTTAAATTCGTGGGCACCATTGGCTGGGCCAATATTTATTGTCCATCCCTAACTGTCCAGAGGGCAGCTAAGAATCAATCACATTGCTGTGGGTCTGGAGTTACATGTAGGCCAGACCAGGTAAGGATGGCAGTTTCCTTCCCTAAAGGATATCAGTGAACCAGATGGGTTTTTCCTGACTATTGACAGTTAGACTCTGATTCCCAGATTATTAGTGGAATTTGAATCCAATATCTGCCATGGTAAGATTCAAGCCCAGATCCTCAGAACATTACCTGGCTCTTTGGATTAATAGTCCAGTGACAAGACCACTAGGCCATCACCTACCCTCTGGGTATGTTTTTTTTTTAACATCCAGAACTGCTGTTACAACTGAATGCTCTCCCATCACCAAGTCAAGGTGATGAATTCTAGCCGGGCAGGCCATTGCTTGTTACCAAGGGAACTCCTGCTTAAGGAGATGAATTTGTGATTCCCCATGGGCCTTCTAGGGGTTTTCACACCAACCTATTGCGTTTGGTGACCCCCACACCTGCTGAATGAGTTGACTGAGCCATCACTAGTTGGAAGATTTTCAATTCTGTGCAATGGAATTATATCTTTTGGAGAGGCTAAGGGTTGGAGAACAGGAGAGTTATGTTTTACTTTCTGCAAGTTAAGGCTGTAATTAAGCAGACAAGAACTCTCTCATGTACCCCTTTACTGCTAGTGCCACTGCAGGGGTGAAGGTTACCTGCTATATTTAAGTATCTTAATCTCAGCATTCTACCAATGAATAACAATAATTAACTTCTCAAACTGGATAGGGGCTATTGTCTAACCATATACAGTAAAGTTACTGAAGATATCTTCCTGGCTAGTTCTTTATAGCTTTCTTTGGTCGAAAAACTTACTCAGCTTCATGTGTCAAACAGAATTACTCTTATCTTCACTGGAGGTCTGAAGACGTGGTTGGAATTAGTAATTTGGGATTTCAATGGCTATCAGTTATCAAGTATGATTTTTGCTACATTTTCACTTAAATTGTAAACAGATTCTGTACTGTGTCTGCAAATCACAAAGCCCTGCATTCAGAATAAATATGATTTCACAGTTTGGTAAATCACATTAACTGGGAACAATTACAAATACCTGTCTCACGAAGCTCAATGCAATATAAGCACAAAATCAATAAACCAATCTCTGATAATTTCATTAAACATTACCATAGCAGGTTTTAACAGAGAGTCAACAGCAGTTAAATACTAAGCATCGTCTATTTCTACTGGATGCATCACATCATGTAGGTATGAATTATTCATTCATTGATTTCCTCCAATTTTAATCCAATCACAAATTCCCTCACTTCAAACCCAATCCCACTTGTTCAAAAATTCCATTACATTTAACCCAATGCATTGATGATTCTTTCAGTTGCATTATAGTGTGAAGGGGCAGCACTTTGCATTGCAATCTATCATGCTTTGCTTTGTAGGGTATGTATGTTTTTATTAACCGGTTCTGAAATGTTATGGGGCAGGTGGAATTAAACCCAGGTCTTCTGGGCCAGAGGTAGGGACACTGCCACTGTGACACATTCCTCTCATCAGATATATATTGATGACTGTTTTAGTTTGGAGTTTATAGAGATTAGTACAAAGTCCTGCCAAGGTAAAGTGTCACATTCCTCTCTTCAAACTGCATTGTGATTGGAGCCATGCACAATCCTAACTCCTGTTCAGCAAACCAAAACTGGTGAAATAAAACGAAATAATTTCAACAACAATTTTGGGAGTACTGCACCAATTTGATTTAGTTTAAATAAGGCAAGGGATAGCATTATAATCAAACCAATTCACACTTGATAGTGGAGCATCTTTCAAAATGATTTAATTACATTGGTTTACATACAAATTAATGACATAAGTCTTTACCCATCAAAATCTGTAAGGAAAGGTAATATATTTTCACAGGAGAGTGAATTTATAATCCAGGGCTCTCTGATGGGAGTGGCATTCACAAGGAGCACAGTGATGTGGAAATGATGAGTGTCTAGCCCTTGATTATATCACTATTAATTTTAGTGGACAGAAAATAATGGGTTGCATTGCTGCAATTCACTCACTCTGTGACAGCTGCTCCCCACAGAGGGTGCCAGCTTATGGAATCACCCCTGGCATCTATTTATGTCTCTTAAAGATTAGCGCATGGAAATTCAGAATTAACAAGCACTTTAACATTGAGTAATCCTGCAGTTGCACAGTCTGATTTTTAAATGGTCTTGTAGGTTTGTCAGGGTGGCAAGTGATGCCTGTTTGTGTTAGTAGAGGTAGAAATGCTTCATATATCCACAGGGCAAATATGACAGAGTGTCAGATAATGTTCTATGTACAAAATTATTAACTGCCCAAAGGAAATTCTTCACGCATTCAAACTGACACTGGTAGGTGTCGTTGCCTTTGAACAACTGTAGCCAATATCAGGGGACAAATACCTAACATGCCTCTGTCTGTTATTTTGACGGCAGCAATAACGCAAATGATAATTGGAGGTCACATTACATGATGAGATATAACTCCATGAATGACCACTTTTATGTAATACACAGAACTGTTTTTTTTCGAAGTGAGCCCAGGCATCGAAGGAGTACTCAGTTTTGCTATGAGTAAAAGGGACAACGATTGATTGAACACCTATTATAGAACCCTCTGATTTTCCATCTCAATAGCAAAGTTGCTGACCTGTTGAAGCCAATCATCTGTTCCGCACCCCACAAAGCTGAAATGCATACAACTGATACTTATGCATGTATTTCTAATTCTCCTACCCATTGCCTCGGATTCAGAAATTCACTCTCACACAGCCCAGCTGGCTAAGTACAGTCAGTGATGAAGACTTGAAGCTTTCTGAGCAGAGTGAGGTTTTACATTATTTCAAACATCAATACAACACATGGAGCACCTGAATGATTGCAGTTCATAGCAGATTTTATTGGACAGTATTTGAAGAGGTACTGCCTGTGGAATCCCAGTGTATATTCTGGCACAGGTAGGAATTTACTGGATCAATGATACGCTGAATTTTTACTACCTCTGAGAATTGTGCATATCAGCAGAGAAATCCCACGACAAAACACAGAAAGGCTGTTCATTTTCCATTTGTGGATGCTTTGCTGCAACTTGTTTATGACTACTCAATAAGGAGGTAGTGCAATAACAACAATTTGCAGATATTTGCTCACACTGTATCACACTGAGCCACTTCACATGACTACCACTAAACAAATTTAGATACCAAGTTGTGTGAGGAGGTATTAGACAATGCCTTAGAGGAGGTTTAAAGAGACAGAGGGGTTGAGAGATTTAGGGAGAGAGGTCCAGAGCCTAAGGCCTAGGCAGCTAAAGGCATAACTCCCAACAATGGAGGGATTAAAATCAGGGATGCATGAGTTTCTAGAATTAGAGAAGGGCAGATATTCCAGAGGATTATAGAGATGGAGGTGGTGATTTGGGGGGTGGGGGTGATGAGGTCATAAGAACATAAGAAATAGGAGCAGGACTAGGCCCCTTGAGCCTGCTTTGCCATTCAGTAAGATCATGGCAGATCTTTTTGTGGACTCAGCTCCATTTACTCACCCGCTCACCATAACCCTTCATTCCTTTAATGTTCAAAAATCTATCTTTGCCTTAAAAACACTGAATGAGGTAGCCTCAACTGCTTCACTGGGCAGGGAATTTCACAGACTCTCAACCCTTTGGGTGAAGAAGTTTCTCAACTCAGTCCTAAATCTGCT